TGCCGGGCTCTCGGAGAGGGGTGGAGGAACCGAACCAGGGTCAGCAGCGTGCAAGGCAAACGCCCTACCCGCTGTCTCCCTGGAATCTCTGTTTTCCTGCCAGGGGAAAGCACCGAGAGCGTGGAAAGGGGTCGAAAGCCCTGGGGTGCGGATCGGAGGGGAAGGGTCAGTGGCACTTTTTCCAGGGGTGTCCAGGCGTCACCAGCCTGTGAGCGGTGAGTGTGGACGCACCTGTGGATGCTAGTCCTCCTTGATCCCACCCACAGCCTGCCCACACCTGAAAAAGAGGGTCAGTACACTCAGCCCCCAGACTCACTGCTACCTGCCTTCACCCACCCCTCATCAAGGCTGCAGGGAGGGAAGCGCCGGCTCAAGCATTTCTAGAACAGAAGCGTGAAGCGTCCAGAACAAAACACACCTGCACCCCCAAGGAAGCAGGTGGTGGCAAAGCTTGAAGAGGCATTCGGGGTGGGGAGGAAAATCCAATCGGGGTGTCCTGAGGGCCAAGCACGCACTCCAGCTCATGGAGCCGTCTCTCTGGCCCCTCCCTGGGAATGTTTTGAGGTTACAAGAAAGAAGAAAACGGGAGGGGGTGTGTGGGGGGGGGGCTGGAGCAATAGCACAGCAGGTAGGGAATTTGCCTTGCATGCGGCCAACCCAGATTCGATTCCCAGCATCCCATAGGGTCCCTTGAGAACCGCCAGGAGTAATTCCTAAGTGCATGAGCCAGGAGGAACCCCTGTGCAACATCGGGTGTGACCCCCCCCAAAAAAAAGAAAAAAAGAAAATGGGGTGGGGGCGGAGGGAAGAGCTCCAGGTGGGAGAGAAGAGTAACCTCCCCATCGTCCAAGAACCAAACTGCCCTCCCGCTGGGTCTCCGGGGTGCCTCTGCCCGGTGAACCCCTCTTCTACTCCAGAGCCTTCCGCAAGTCACGACGGGACGGTGGCCCAGGAAGCACGTGGTTTTAGACCCCAAGAGTCAGACGCAAGAGACAGAGCTAGACAAGGCACCATACACTCCGGGTGGCCCCTCTCTGCCCCGGGGAACTCCACATCTGTTTGCACCCCCTCTCGTCTGCCCAGACAAGTAAGTATTCGCTTTCAGGACAAAGAGCCAGGACTCAAGGCTCTGGGCCCCCTGGCTCCTGACCCTGGTTTTCCCCCTTTGCTAAATGGGGGAGGGGGAGGGGACATGTGCCTTCGATTGGCGTCAGGGTGAATGGTACCAGGTGAAACTTGGCGGCATGGGGCTAGAGTGATAGCAAGCAGGTAGGGCGTTTGCCTTGCACGCAGCCGACCCCGGTTCGATTCCCAGCATCCCATATGGTCCCCTGAACACTGCCAGAAGTGATTCCTGAGTGCATGAGCAAGGAGTAACCCCTGTGCATTGCTGAGTGTGACCAAGAAAGAAAGAAAGAAAGAAAGAAAGAAAGAAAGAAAGAAAGAAAGAAAGAAAGAAAGAAAACCGGTGGCATAAGGCTCGAAGAGAAGGACCTGGCTTTTATTTTTTCCTTATCTTCAGCTGCAAGTATAGAGAGGTGCCTTCTGGTTGGTCGACCCTTCTGGTTGGGTCGAAGACACAAGTGATCATGGGTGGGGGGGAGTACATCTGAGCCACACAGGAAGGACCCCCCCATCGACCACCTGGAGGTCACTCCCCACTACTTCCAGGACACATAACCCTTCCCTCCAGGGCGCCTGGGCCTTGCTTGGTCCCACTGCCCAGTCCTGTGATTGATGGACACCAGGCTCCTCCCTCCCATCTGTCCTCCCAGCAAAGCCCCAAGACCCCCCCCCCCCGCCCCCTGCCCACTCCTGCTCAAGCTGCCGAACTTGGTTTCAGAACTCACACCAAGGGGAGAACTGAGCCCACCTGAGTCCACCCAGCTATAGCAGCCGGTGGCCCCCAACCTGCGGTCTTAGCACCCCACTCTTTCCATAAGATCTTTCACTCCTGTGCATCTGCTTCACCGTCTCTGCCAGAGAAGGTCTTGCTCTTCATTGAAAAAAAAATGAAAAGTGGAGCTGAAGTGATAGCACAGCGGGGAGGGCATTCGCCTTACACGCGGCTGACCCGGATTTGACTTCCAGCATCCCATATGGTCCCCCTGAGCACCGCCAGGGATAATTCCTGAGTGCAGAGCCAGGAGTGACCCCTGAAAAACCGCTGGGTGTGACCCAAAGGTAAAGGCCCACCCGTTGATCATCGATTTTCTCGAGCGGGCCCAGTAACGGCTCCATTGGAGACTTTGTTGTTACTGTGTCTGGCATATCGAATACTCTCGGTAGCTTGCCGGGCTCTCCGAGAGGGGCGGAGGAATCGAACTCGGGTCGGCCATGTTGGCCGCTTGTAAGGCGAACGCCCTACCGCTGTGCTATCACTCCAGCCCCAAAAGCAAAAAAAAAAAAAAAAAAAAAAAAAAAAAAGAAAGCAACAAAACGGGAGCTTCACACACACACACACACACACACACACACACACACACACACACACGGCTCTCTTCCTTGACACCACATTCCCATCTATTCCTCTTCTATCCCTCTGTCCCCACCACAGCAAGAAGTTATTTACAGTCCTCACTCTAAGGACTCTTACACCAGCTCTGACTGACCTTCCATCCTCCCCCTCCCCCTCCCCCCTCCCCCTGATTGGCCCTTGTAAAGAGACTCACAAACCACTCGTGGCGTGTTGTGTGCACTGATCCTACTAGATCTCTTAGCATGCCTGCAGGGAACCACTTCCCCTTCCCCCGTCTTCCGGCTACTCTCACTATCTTCAACTTCCGGCAATGTGTCCACCAGTCCCGCCTCTGTTTGGCCACCAAAGAATGCCCAAGAGCCCCAGCCTTGGCCCTTTCATCCTCCCACCAATCCAAAGGCACCCCCAAAGGACCTCAATGTGCTGAACACTCTGAGCTCAGCATCCTGGGACCTGCCTCTCTCTGGACTCACTCCAGTCCTACTCAGGCCATCTCCCTGGAGGACCAGCGCCAACTCAACACATGTGACAGAACACTTGCTTTCATGTCCCCACCCGTCATTCTCTCTCTCGGCCACCATCCACCCCGTTATCAAGACAGAAGAAAGAAAGAAAGAAAGAAAGAAAGAAAGAAAGAAAGAAAGAAAGAAGGAAAGGAAGAAAGAAAGAAAGAAAGAAAGAAAGAAAACAAGCAAAGTCTCTTTAGCTCATTCCCAAAGGGAACTTCCCTTCCCTCAGTTGTCAACTATACGCCAAAGTGCTCACTTCTCTCCCCTCAGTGGCTGCCACGTGACAATGGCTATCACATCTCTCCCAGGAGCACTAAAATAGCTTTATTTCACCCCACCCCAACACTAAACTAAAGCACTTCATAAAAAAATGTAGCACTGTCCTCCTGTTGTTCATCGATTTGCTCGAACGGGCACCAGTAACGTCTCCATTGTGAGACTTGTTGTTACTGTTTTTGGCATATCGAACATGCCACGGGGAGCTTGCCAGGCTTTGCTATGTGGGCAGGATACTCTCGGTAGCTTGCCAGGCTCTCCGAGAGGGGCGGAGGAATGGAACCCGGGTCGGCCACGTGCAAGGCAAATGCCCTACCCGCTGTGCTATCGCTCCAGCCCATCATAAAAACGAAAACCTGGAAAGCCATCTGCAAAAACAAGAAGTGCAAAGCACATACCATGTACATCTGCGTTTAAATATGCAAAACAAAGTGCAAACCATGTTTCGCATCCTTACGGCAGAGAGAGCTCTTATGATACTCTATTAGAAAATAACTTGGAGAAAAAAAAGACAATCAAAAAAAAAAACCAAAGGCAGGTCATTTGTAAATTTGTAGGGTGATGGATGGCGTGGAGGTATAATTGTCATATAACATTGTGTCAGCTTCACGTGTGCAACATCATGATTTGATATTTGGATCTCCCATAAAACCAGCCCCACAATAAGTCTCGTCAGTGTCTGTCGCTCGAGAGGGCTGCAAAATTTAAAACGTAAAGTGGTCCTGCCTATAAGCGTGATGACTAACTACAGCCAGCCCAACCCGTTCTCCCTTGAGGACGCCCTGGTTTCCACCCCATTCAAGGAGCTCCGTCATCCACATAATAATTAATATCCAGCCCGGCTTTCCTAGTTTGCCAGCCCAACGTGCTCTATGGCCTGGCTCTCAAGCTCATCCTTCAGATGCAAGAAGCTCTTCTGAAGGAGAGCATGTGTGGGGGTGTGAGCGTGCTCAAGGTCATTTCTGGGGGGAAGAATCCAGGCACTGGGACAGAGTGAGGAGTGGAAGGGAAGGGGAGAAAGCTGTAGAAGTCCAGCTGGAAGAAAGACCCACACAAGGGCCTCTTTTTTTTTTTTTTGCTTTTTGAGTCACACCCAGTGATGCTGAGGGGTTACTCCTGGCTCATGCACTCAGGAATTACTCCTGGCAGTGCTCAGGGGACCACATGGGACCCCGGGAATTGAAGCCGGGTCGCCCTACCCGTTGTGCTATCACTCCGGGTACCTCAAGGGCCTCTTAATGATCCACACAGCCCTCGTCATAACAGGTCAATGTGGGAAAAGAGGACCGGGTCGCTCCGAAACAGAGCTTGGATCTGTGCCCCTGGATGGGTACTGGGGAGAGAGAGTTGGGCAGTGTGGGGGTGGGGGTTGTTTAGTGGAAAGGAAAAAGAGAAAGAGGAATCGCTGTCATTTGGCAGAAATCCATAGCTGACCCGAAGCTGGAGCCAAGAAGAGGGTCTGGCAACAAAAGATGCTACCCCAGACTGGGCAACCAGCATTTGAGCTGGGATAAAAGTACCCTGGGATGACCTGGCAGAGGGTGAGAACACTGCGTCCGTGGGCACCATCCTAGTCACTGCCTCAGCTAGGCTTCAACTTGCCAAGACCCAGTGTGTGATGCTCCCCCCTCCCCCCCCCCGCTCCCCGCAGTAAATCTCAGTCTCTGTCACCCCACTGAGCCAGGGCGAGTCCCTCAAACCCACCACCCCTGGGCAGATAGAGGGGTGCGCCTTACTGTTGTCCAAGTGGTTGGCCTTGATGATCTTTTCTGAGTAGTCGGAGATACTGGAGCATTCGATCTAGAAGGGGCACAGAACCAAGGAGCCAGGCGTGAACATCCCAGGAAATCACCCCCTCCCCTGCCCCACCGACCGATGGGACCAATGGAGATGCAGATGCATGGAAGGGCATCAGCAAAAAAACACAGCCATGGGGCAGAGCCATCGTACCACGAGGAGAGCGTGCGCCTTGCATTCTTGCCATGTACACATGATTCTGGAGCCTGAGGGCAGAGCCAGAAGGAAGCCCCGAGCACCGCCAGGTGTGGCCCCCAAACACACAAAATGTCTTTTGGACTCTCAGGTATGGTCAAATGTGCAAGAAACCCAGCCGTAGACATGGCAGGCAAGAGTCACGGTCACGGTCCTCCTGCTGTTCATCGATTTGCTCGAGCGGGTCCAGTAACGTCTCCATCGTGAGACTTGTTGTTACTGTGTCTGGCATATCGAATACGTCACGGGTAGCTTGCCAGGCTTTGCCGTGCGGGCGGGATACTCTCGGTAGCTTGCCAGGCTCTCCGAGAGGGGTGGATAGCACAGTGGGTAGGGCGTTTGCCTTGCATGCAGCCAACGTGGCCGACCCGAGTTCGATTCCTCCGCCCCTCTCGGAGAGCCTGGCAAACTACCGAGAGTATCTCGCTCGCACGGCAGAGCCTGGCAAGCTATCTGTGGCGTATTCAATATGTCAGACACAGTAACAATTGTCACAATGGAGACGTTACTGGGCAGCCAAGAGTGAAAACACAAAATGTAAAGTAAGTAAAAGCTACAAAGGCAGCTGGCAGGCCGGAAGTCCCACCTCCACTGCTGGGGCTGCCTTTGCCCTGGTTGGAGTGACCGCTCCAATGCATGAGCGCTGGCGGTCAGTGGGCAGGGAGGAGCCCTTTGGGCACAATAGGAAACCTCCCTCCAATTATCCCCCAGCCCCTGGTGAGATAAGCACTTTCCACAAGGGGTACCAGGGCCGGCATGGGGAACCCATCTGTGTGTGCGTGCACACACACACACACACACACACACACACACACACACACGTGCCACCTTGGGTCCCTCTCATGGAAAGAATCCCAGAAGCGACGGCTGGAGCGATAGAACTGTGGGGAGTGCGTTTGCCTTGCATGCGGCCAACCTGGGTTCCATCCCCAGCATCCCATATGGTCCCCTGAGCACTGCCAGGAGTAATTCCTGAGTGCAGAGCCAGGAGAAACCCCAGTAATTCCCGAGTGCAGAGCCAGGAGGAACTCCTGAGCATCGCCGGTGTGACCCAAAAAGACAAAAAAAAAAAAAAAAAAAAGAATCCCAGAAGGCTTCTCGGTCTTCCACATGGGTGCAGGGACCAGTGGGTGAGCAGCTCAGAGCACTATCTGGGAGCACTAGCCAGTGAGCAGCCAGGGTGCTGGAGGCTTGGGCTGGCAGGCTGTGAGCAGAGGGAGAAACAAGCCCGACCCCCAAAGGCATGAATCTGGGCTTTCTTGGAGACTAGCCTATGCTAAGGCCTGGGAGGGGGTCCCACCTCACACAGCCCCCAGGCTCTTGGGGGTTAGGATTTGCAGAGAAGCCCCAGGAAGTTGGAACCAGGCCTCCGGACCTCAGTGGAGGGCAGGTCCCTGTGGGTGGGGACAACACCCCACCACGCCTCAAATCCCAGCTTCCTTCCGGGTCTTGTAGCCCTGAACCCCGTGTCTGGGATCAGTCCCCTTCCCTCGGGCCACAGCACACCCCGCCTTCCACCGTCCACAGCCACTGAGCTCGATGGCCCACGGCCCTGTTGGCCGCTCCTGTGAGCAGCTCCCCGACTCGTGCCTCGATGTCCTCCTGATTCGGGGTCTGCTCCCCGCCCCCGGTGCTGCCAAGGGATGCAGCTGCCCCCGGCCAACCCTGAGGTTTCTCGCCTCTACTTCCATCTGCTCTTCCCTCCCGAACCCTCTTGCTCTTCCTTCCCCCATTCTTGTCTTTGCTCCTGTCCACCTGCCTCTCTTTCTGCCTCGTCTAATCCCTCCCTGGTTTCTCTCACCTTTGCCTCGGCTTCCCCTCTCTGCTTCTGGACTCACACCTGCCTCTTGGCCTCACACTCCCCAGATTCTGCCAATTTTCCTCTCTCTCTCCCTCTCTTTCCCTCTCCCTCTCTCTCTCCCTCCCTCCCTCCCACTCTCCCATCCCTTCCTTTTCCTCCGTCCCTCCCTCTCCATCCTTCTCCCTTGCTTCTTCTCCCTCCCTCTCCCTGCTCATTCACTGGCTCACTGGCTCACTCCCTCTCTTTCCCACTCCTGGTCCCTCTCTCCTCCCTTCCCTCCCCCTCTCCCCACCCCCACCCCCGCCTGGTGGGAGAGAGGTTCCCTGTGGAGTGAGCAGGATGGAATGGGGTGCAGCTCTTTGGGTCAGAGTTGCGGGAGCACCAGAGTGGGAAGCAGTCCCCGTGGTGAGGGGTCAGCCCAGCTGGAAGGTGCCAAGTGGGGGTCCCCACTCCTCCTCCCCCCCTCACCTGTGCCTTGGCTGACTTCCCCTCACCCTCACCCACACTTGGAAACCAAAGAACTGCCATGGCCCTGCCTACCAGACTTAGCACCCCGCTACCTCCCTCCCATGCCAGGGTCCAGAAGGGGTGAGACCTCAGGAGAGAAGGCTGGCGGGGTCACCAGGTGGTCCCAAGGCTGCTCAGGCTCTGGGAGAAGCAGGAAGTGGAGTCTTGACTGAGGCCTCTGCTCTAGGGAGGGGTGGGGGATGGGATGGAGCAGGGCTGAGGGCAGGGAGGAAGGGAAGGTGGCAGGTGGGAGGACAGTGCCAGTTAAGACTGCACTTAACCTTGGCCGTCAGACAGGCCCCTCCACAGGCCTAAGCTGGGGGCCTCCTCCAGGTTTGGGTCAAGGTTCTGCTCTATGAGCTCCCAGAAGACACCAGCCACGCGGCTGGAGCAATAGCCCAGCGGGGAGGGCGTTTGCCTGCATTCGGCTGACCTGGGTTCGATCCCCAGCATCCCATAGGGTGCCCCGAGCACCTCCAGGAGTAATTCCTGAGTGCAGAGCCAAGAGGAACCCCTGAGCATCCCCGGGTGTGACCAAAAAAAAAAAAAAAAAGACGCCAACCCCGCCTCCAAGTGGGAGAATGCGCATGCTCAGATTTGAGGTAGCAAGGACTTGGAGGCACGGGTACCCCCATGAGTCTGGGATCTGTCCAGACAAGCTCCAGATTGGCTGAAGCCTGGAGAACAGCGCCCGCCCCTCCCTGCTCCCCCCATGCCCAGATTCCACCAAAGTTGCTCCTTCCCCCCAGAGCATCGACTCCAGCTCTTGCTCAAGGCCACGCTGGGGTGTTCAGTCAGAGTTTGCCTTTCACTGCCTTTAGGGTTCATTCCCCCTTTCTCACCCCAGAGCCCCTGCAGGTCAAGGGTCAGCCACTGCGCAGCATGCTTCTGCCTCAGTTTCTCCCCAGCCCCAGACAACACCTGTCTCTCCATCATCAATCAGCAGTGGACAGAGGTGTGGAAAGAACCTGGCCAGGCGGGGCGGGAAGGGGGGTCTTCCTAGAGCCTGGAGAGACCACCAGAGTCAGTTCATATCTTTAAACCTGGCAACCTATCCCTTAAAGCAAAAAGGGAGAGATTTCTCCCTTAGGGCCCCATTCCAGCCACCACTCACAGACACTGAGCATCTGTCACCTGGCAGGCTTGGGAGAAAGCACGTCACACACGGATGGAATTCCTTCATTCCTCAGTCACACACCCTCCCACCAGGGACCAGGAACTAGCATTGGGCCCATTTTACAGATGAGTAAACCAAGGCACGAGCACAAACTGGGCACTCATCATGCATCCTGTCGGGAGAAGACGGGGAGATCTGCCTGGGGCTCACACGTGGCCACTCTGCATCTCCAGATGACAATAGGACTCTCTCACGCATGTGACAAGGCCACCAGAGTGGGTCCCAGAAAACCAAAACCCTCACAGGTCAGAGTCGCCCAGGCAAGGGACGTGGAGCCATGCCCAGGCTCTGCTCCTGAGAGCCTCGCGGGACTTCCTCTACTTCTAAGGGGCATCTCCTCTGTCCCTGGCAAAGAGAAGAACCAGATTTGTCCTCCTATAAAGGGCAGAGCAGACCGAGGGTGGGGGCCGACTCTGCAGAGACCCGCACGAAGGAGGCAGGCAGGGGCTGGCTCACCCCAAACACCTTCTTGGCTCCTGCCTTGGCAGCGAACATGGACAGGATCCCGGTTCCGCTCCCCACGTCCAGTACCACTTTGTCCTTGAACACATGCTTGTTGTGGTACATGGAGTTCCGGTAAGTGAGGGTCCGCACCTCGTCCTTCAGCATCTCCTGTGTGGGGACAAGAAAAAGTCAGTGTTCGAGAGCCCGGGAGGAGAACACCAGGGCCGGGGGTCTGGGAGACCTTCCCAGAGCTCCGTCAGGATGCCATTAAGGCGTATGCCTGGCTTAGAACACTGGGGGACAGTTGGGTGATGCTGGGAGCCTGTGCTAGTTCATATTAAGAAAGTCGTCGTCCTAGATTAGTACCGGGAATTTTGCTCCATGCCTTGGAGGCCAGCCACACATGCTAGGGGAAAAGGGAGCTCAGATAGAAAAGGGAGCACCAAATAAAGGGTGTTGGGAGGATCCTCCCAGGATGGGGGAAGCATGCGGAAAGTAGACTACAGACCAAACATGATTGTCACCCATTGCCTCTTTTGCAGACCACAACACCCAATAGAAGAGAGAGAACAAAGGGAATGCCCTGCCACAGAGGCAGGGTGGGATGAGGGAGACGGGGCGTGGGAGGGATACTGGGATCCGTGGTGGTGGGAAATAGGCACTGGTGGAGGGATGGGCATTTGATCATTGTATAATTGAAACCCAAGCGCAAAAATTTGTAAGTCTACAACTGTACCTCATGATGTCTCACTAATAAAAATAAAAAAAATCAATCAATCACGACCATCCTGTTATTCGTCGATTGCCTCAAGCAGGCCCCAGTAATGTCTCCTTCGTTCTAGCCCTGAGATTTTTTTAAAAAGTGCCATATTCAAGGCTCTTTCAGAGTTAGGAGAATGAGACCCTTCATTGTTATTGGTACTTGGCATATTGGGTACGCCACGGGGAGTTTGCCAGATTCTGCCGTGTGGGCAGGTTACATTCGGTAGCCTGCCAGTTTAGAAAGAAAGAAAGAAAGAAAGAAAGAAAGAAAGAAAGAAAGAAAGAAAGAAAGAAAGAAAGAAAGTCCTCGTCCTAGGGTCGTGTTGTCTAAAGGCTGGTTTATAAGAAACCATTGTCTTGGGGTTGCACATTCTAAGGGCTGATGGTCTTGTTTTTCTAGCAGGCTCTTTCCCTGTTCTTGTGGCAGAACATGTTGCTAAAATATATCAATATATAACCAAGGAAAGTACCATGGAAACCATGTAGCACTGTAGCACTGTCCTCCAGTTGTTCATCGATTTGCTCGAGGGGGCACCAGTAATATCTCACAACAAATTGTGAGACTTGTTGTTACTGTTTTTGGCGTATTGAATACGTCAGGAGCTGGAGCAATAGCACAGCGGGTAGGGTGTTTGCCTTGCACGCGGCCGACCTGGGTTCGATTCCTCTGCCCCTCTCGGAGAGCCTGGCAAGCTACTGAGAGTATCTCGCCTGCACGGCAAAGCCTGGCAAGCCACCGGTATTCGATTCAGAAACTATGTAACTATGGAAAAACATCAGTGACCTATAGAAACCAAGTACATTCTAAACGTATGCATCCTGATCATTCCTGTATATTTTTCCAATGTATATTTCCTTCTAGAGACTTACAAAAAGCCTGTTGCTTGTTCAATAAAGACACTGCATGAGCACTGCTCATCTAGCTCTCCTTCTCCCTCTGCCTGGGGGACCCTGTTGGACCTAGCTGTGCGGGAAGTGGCAGGGTGAGAGGCCATCTGCACTAGGACACGTGACCCCAGCCTTAACACTCTGTCCCAGAAAGCCTGCTTGTCCTAGCTGAAAATATGAGCCTGTTCAGATCGGGGGATGCTCCTATCCCCAGGCTCAATACTGAGTAGTAGGAGTTCAGAGATCCAGAGCAGAACATTCCCTCTACAATGAGAGGAAGGAAGGTGTGTGTGTGTGTGTGTGTGTGTGTGTGTGTGTGTGTGTACATGCGACCTCTTTTTTGTTTTACTTGTTTTTTTTTTTTTATGTGTACTGGGCCCGCTTGAGCAAATCGATGAACAACGGGAGGACCGTGGACCGTGGATTGTGGAATAAGGTGTGATTTTCAAGCAACGTTATTTTCCTTTCTAAATCTCAACCATATTGTGTAATCCTTATCTTAGGCACAGAATTGAAAGCCAGAGATATTCAGGTCTGGCCCAGGACATATACCTCAAGAGCTAGAATTAGGGTTTCAAAGATAAATTATATATATTTTTTATCTCCTTTCAAATTTCCACAAGGTTCCAGTTGCCTGTGGGAATAATACTTATCTGTCCTTTTTTTTAAATTTTTTTTTAATTAGTGAAACACCATGAGGCACAGTTGTAGGTTTACAAATTTTTGTGCTTGGGTTTCGATTATACAATGATCAAATATCCATCCCTCCACCAGTTCCCATTTTCCACCACCACGGATCCCAGTATCCCTCCCACCCCCCATCCCCTCCATCCCACCCTGCCTCTGTGGCAGGGCATTCCCTTTTGTTCTCTCTCTCCTTTTGTTTTTGTTTTGGTTTTTTTTTTGTTTTACTTGTTTTTAAGATTAGAAAACACATTCCACAGGGGGGCTGGAGCAATAGTACAGCAGGGAGGGTGCTTGCCTTGCACATGGCCAAACCAGGTTCAACCCCCAGCTCCCCTTACGATTCCCTGAGTAGGGTGATCCCTGAGTGATGATAAAGTGATCCCTGAGCAGAATCAAGCCCTCAACACTGCTGGGTGGGGCTCCAAACAAAGCAGCAGCAAATGTTTTGTTGCTAGAATAGGCACCATAATCAAGAAGTCAAACATTCCCATCACCCCCAGAAGATCTGTCACTGCTCCGTGGCAGAGAATCCTCAGCCTCACTCCAGACAACCAATGATCTCATTTCTTTCACCGGCGCTTCCTTCTGTCTGTTCAAGAATGAGATGTAAATTGAATCATACAGTATGCAAACTTTTCTGTCTGGCTTCTTTTGGCTTCTCTTGCTCAGCAGAAGGGTTTGGAGACTCATTCACTGTTTTCCAAGTCTACTGGTTCTGAATGTTCCTTGTCCTCTTGCTATGGTTGCCATTGAATCATATTTCTCCCCATGAACATACCATAGAGTCTTTATCCTTTTGCTTGTAGATACTTGGGATTTTATTACGAATGAAGTCATGACGAATCTTTGGTGGTTTATTTATTGATTTATTTTAAGATAAACAAGAGCCACAACTGTTGATGTAATCCTAGAGCTGAAATCGATTCGCTAACAAAAGCTCTGATGCTAAAATCATTAAGTATTAAAAAAAATACATTCCTATGTAAAAAATTGTTATATCATCATGGGTTATTCCTGACTCTGCACTCAGGAATTACTCCTAGAAGTGCTCAGGGAATCATATGGGATGCTGGGAATTGAACCCGGGTTGGCCACGTAGAAGGCAAATGCCCATCATGGAGTTAAGTCCTTGTCTAAGGACGCACTGTTTGTTGCGAGTGCAGCCCTCTGTGTTATTGTTTTTGTTTGCTGAGTTTAGTTGGCATCTACTTTCCCACTAATTTGATGTGCTCCCAGTGGAATTTCAATATTGAGGAATTTAGGTCCAACTGTATGGTCAAGAGACTTCGGGGTCTATGCTCTGGGACAATGAGTTGGCTTGGCTGTGCCAGGTGAGCTTAGCTGCCAGGGCTTCTGGCAAGTATGGGGGTCTGGGGAAGGCTGCCCACCTTGACTCCGAGAAGACACCAGAGTTCTCAGCCTAACTGTCAGAGTGCCTGAAATTATTTACAATTTGGCGTCTCTGCAGAGAATGAGAGTGAAGCAGTGGAGTTCAGGCTTGGCGTGGCTGCAGCCACGTAGGGTGTTGGTTCAGCTGCCAGAGCTTCAGTGGGGCTGGTACTTAGCCCACCCCCTCCCAAGGGCACTCGCAAACTTTTCACACGATGGGGTCTGATGCATGTCCATGAATCTTAGCTGCTTGGCTTGCATCTTCTCGGAGATTTAGTTGGGAATGAGTAGAACATGGCCATTGGTGGGATGAACATGGCGTTGTGGGAAGTCTCTTTTTGCTTTTTGGGTCACACCCGGCAATGCACAGGGGTTACTCCTGGCTCGGCATTAAGGAATCATTCCTGGCGGTGCTCAGGGAACCCTATGGGATGCTAGAAATCAAACCCAGGTTGGCCATGTGCAAGGCAAACCCCCTTCCCGCTGTGTTATCACTCCAGCCCTGTGGGAGATCTTTTTTTTTTTTTAAAGAAATCTTTTTGAGGGGCTGGAGTGATATAGCACAACGGGTAGGGCGTTTGTCTTGCACGTGGCTGACCCGGGTTCAATTCCCAGCATCCCATAGGGTCTCCCGAGCACCACCAGGAGTAATTCCTGAGTGCTAAGCCAGGAATAACCCCTGAGCATCGCAGGGTGTGACCCAAAAAGGAAAAAAAACCAAAGAAATCTTTTTGAAGATAAATGTTTTCATTTCTTTGGGGTAAATTAAACGCTGGGGCATTTAAATTCATCAGAAATTGCTAGATAATTTCCCAGAATCCACACATCATTTGTGAACCCATCAACAAAGCCAAGGAGTTTGAGTCAGTTCCCATGGCAGCAACTTAATGTCTTTTTTTTTTTCATTCTGGTCAAGCAGAAATGAACTGGCACATTATTGTAGCTTTAGCTGCATTTATCTGATGGCTATTTATATAAATAATTTTTATCTTGTACTTACTGGCTATTGATTTATATCTTTTCAGGGAAGGGTTTGTTTTGTCTTTTTTTATTTATTTTATTTTATTTGCTTTTTGGGTCACACCCAGCGATGCTCAGGGGTTCCTCCTGTCTCTGCACTCAGGAATTATTCCTGGCGGTGCTTGGGGGACCATATGGGATGCCAGGGATTGAACCCAGGTTGGCCACGTGCAAGGCAAACGCCCTACCCGCTGTGGTATCACTCCGGCCCCTTGTCTTTTTTAAAAAATAGGATTATACTGTAGCACTGTAGTACTGTCCTCCCGTTGCTCATCGATTTCCTCAAGCAGGCCCAGTAATGTCTCCATTGTGAGACTTGTTGTTTACTGTGTTTGGCATATCAAATATATCACAGGTAGCTTGCCAGACTTTGCCGTGTGGGAGAGATATTCTCAGTAGTTTGCCAGGCTCTCTGAGAGGGG